TACCGTGTCTGGCTTATATGTGGTCTGAGAATTCTAACTCAGGTCCTTGCACGCATTTGCCTACTAAGCAATCTTCCCCGGCCTGAAACAGCATTTTGAAATAAATATATCTATTACTTTCTTCGGTTCACATTTACTAAGCAAATGCAAAGTCCTCAATGGTACTGAGTCAAGAGAAGAAAACGAAGCTGTGGAATTACCAAGCAATAACCCCGAATCCAGGAAGCCCATACCCTGATGCGGAATCTAGCAGGGGAAAGGCCCAGCTACGTGGTAAGAAGTGCCTGGCAAAACAGGAGGAAAAAGACTACGGCCAGCAGAGGTTGGGTGGGGGGAGTCGGGGATGATCTCCCAAAGGAGAGTTCAGAATTGGCTTGGAAGGGTGAGTTTCACTCACCTATAGACGGAAAGCCAACAAGAATCCTAGAGTGAAGAGAAACAGTAAGTGAATTCGGAACTCATCCCATTAATCCATCACTACCCATGAGTTCAAGGCCACCCTCATCCACACGGTAAGTTCATGGTTAGCCTGGGCTACATCCTTTCTCAAACAAAACCCACAAAAACAAACTCACCAAAGCAGCAAGAGCAAGCAAGCTGTTGGGGGCAAAAACTGTAGGCCTTCCTGCAGCGTTACTTACAGGGTTTAGGGGTAAAGGCAGGAGCGAAGTATCCGAGACTTGTTACAGCCTCAAAAAAAAAAAAAAAAAAAAAAAGTAGCGTTTTCTAATGGACGGACCAAGATTCTGATTTTGCTCGGTCAACTCATAGTTTCAAAATCAAGAGTTCCACTTGTAAAGATTTCCTGGCTCAGGGACTCAAACCTGTGAACTCTCAGTCATGCAGCGCTACATACATAGCAGGAGCTGTCTCAAAAAAATAAAACAAAGAGGCTGCTTACACAGAATGGAAACATTTTATTTTAATAGTCAATGCCAGCAGGGTTGTGAAGGTACGGACCTGTACACCCAGCCCCGGGAAGCAGAGACAGGAGGATCACTGCAGGCTCAAGGGGAACGCTAAATATGCAGTAAGTCCCGGGTGAGCTGGGGCTGCATAGTGAGGCCCTGTCCAAACAAACAAACTCACAGACAAAGGCTGGGTTTAGTGGTGCATACCTGTGCATAATCTGATACCCAGGGGGCCGAGACTAGAAGATTTTCAATTCAAGTCTGCCTGGACTACAGAGTGAGTTCAGGGCTAGCCAGAGTGACTTAGTAAGACCCTGTTCCTAAATTTAAGAATTTTGAAAAATAGTAAACACGAAACAAAATCAAAACCAGGGCTGGGGAGATGGCTCAATGATTAAGAGCATATGCTGCAAACCAGGCAGTGGTAGCTTTTAATCCCAGCACTGAGACAGAGGCAGGCAGAGTTCAAGGCCAACCTGGCATACAGAGTGAGTTCCATGACCATCAGGGCTACAGAAAGAAACCCTGTCTCAAAAGAAAAAAAGAAAATGAAAGGAACAAAGAAAACGGTATTTGCTGCTCTTCCAGAGGACTGGTGTTTGGATCTCTGCATTCGCACGATGCATCTCACAAGCTTCCTGGAACTAAGTCTAGGGGACCCAACGCTCTCTTTTAGACTCCACAGGCGCTACACGCATGTGCACAAATGCACACCCAAACAAACGGTGCACAAATAAAGTGTTTTTGTCAGATGTGGTACAGAATAACTAACCTCGGCACTAAGAAGACAGACACAGGAGGATCAGGGAAGCATTCAAAACCAGTCTTGGCTGCACATGGAGTTTGAGGCCAGCCTGCCTCAAAAACAAAACAAAATAAAACAAAACCAAACAAAAATCAGGGCCTTGTTGGGGCCAATGGATGACTCATACACAAACCTGATGACCTGAGTTTAATTCCCCAGGATCCACATAAAGGTGACAGGAGAGAACCAATTCCAAAGTTGTACCCTGACCTCTATGGAAACACACATGTACACACAGACACACACAGACACACGAAAGAGAGAGAGAGAGAGAGAGAGAGAGAGAGAGAGAGAGAGAGAGAGAGAGAGAGAGAGAGAAATACACACTGCACATACTCATTAAAAACAAACTTTCAAAAAGACAAAATGTTAAATGGTTCAACACTGCCTGTGTTGGGCTTAAGGCACTCCAGTAATAACACTCTGAGCCGCTGTCCACACTCTTGAGAAGTAAAACACTCCCACCCCCAAGTTTGTTTAACCTTCCTTTAATTTGACATGCTCCTCATACTTCACAGCGGTTTGCAAAGAAGAAAAGCCATGGCAACGACAGACTGCCACTGATTTAGTACAATTAGGAACCAACAGGATGACTGGCAGAAACGTGGTGAATCCGGCCAGGAAGCAGGCTCTAGCTGAAGTACCCGCCTAGCCTGCATGAGTCCGGGTTCACTAAGGCTTGCCATCACCCTCCGCAAACACTAGCTGGGAACACAGTGCTCTTCCCGAACCCAGCTGTTGAGTGGATTCTCCATTTCTTCAGTCACTACAAGGGGTTCTCTTGGGCAAACTACCGAAACTCTCTACTCGGTTTCCCCAAATATAAACAGAGACAATACCACAGCGGGTTTCACATAGCTCATTGCCATGGTAGTTATATAAAGCAACTCCAGCACTCAGGAAACTGAAGCAGGAGGATCTCTCTAAGTTACAAGTCCAACCTGGTCTACAAAGAAAGTCCCAGGCCAACCAGGGGATTCATAGTGAAGCCCTGTCTCAGAGACAAGAACAAAAAAAGCAACCTCCAGAATGGCATTTCAACAATGGTGAAGACACCAGGGCTTTCTAATCCCCTGAAATTTGAGCTTGTCTCTAACATCTTCCTCTCAACAGATTTTTATTGTTTGTTTTGAGTCAGGGTCTTACTCTTACCCTAAGCTGGCCTGTAACTAGGTAGCACAGGCTGGTTGAGAAGCCTGTTTGGGTCTCCAGATGTGAGCCACCAACTTCAACAAGGCTCTGACAGCACTAAAACCAATCTCTCTCCCCGGGGACTGGATGGAGAGGTGTTTACTTAACGTTGGTGTCCCCACCTGAAATCCTTTCGCTTAGGACGGACCTGCACTCCCACAAGGAGGAGCCAGGGAAGCAACGGCACGGCGGGCAAGGCTCTCCGAGAACCCCTAACAGCCCAGGTTCTGTCACCGCTCCTGAGGCTACGCCTACGTGCAAATCCGAACAGGGGCCCAGAAAAAGGGCTATTTGTTGGCTAAGGTCCAGAAGGGGAAGGCTTAGCAGATACTCCTTTCCCTCCATATTTCAGCATTAAAACTCCCAACTTTCCCCCCCACACACACTTTATGATTTCAGTGGCAGGTAAAGGAACACAAAGTAAAATGTGTGAAATAGACCAACACATACTCTGGGGCTTGCACGGCAGGTGGGGACCTCTCCAGGGATGGGTGTCTTTGACAGATTAGGGTTACAGCAGTCAAATCTCCCTGGAGACACACCGAAGGAAATTCCCTTTCCAGAACATCAGCTTCCTTCCAACCCAGCCTGACAATGGACACCAAAGGATAAAGGGCCATTTAAAAACAAACGAGGGCTTGCTTGTCTAGGTGTGCCAGGCCCTGGGTGCAAACTCCAGCACCGAAAACAAAGGGGAAAAAAAGTGAGATTTCTTAGAGTGGATGGAACACAGCGTTCTGCCACCTGCTACAAAAGCTCTTTAAGCCTCCCGGTTGCCCAGCCCTAAGTCGCTTTCCACTCTCTGCACTCTAGAGTGTGCATGGGGAGTGGGGGTGGGACCAGAAGCAAAAGACCCGAGGTTTGGGAGCTAGTCTCCAGTCGCCCGTACTCCACAGCCCCAGGTCTCCCTCCTGCTCGGAGACCCCGAGGCCGCTGACCCGCTCGGGTGTCCAAGCAGGCGCCGCTACTACCTTGGCTAATGGCAACACTGAATGAAAGGAGCCGAGGCAGGCTGAGGATTTATGAATGTGCAGGGGAGGAGGGATATCATGTGACAATAAAGGAGAACGTCTTATTCACAAAAAAAAAAAAAAAAGTGGCTGGTGGCGAGCAGTCACTGAACTGCCGTCACAGATTCGGGACCGCTCGGACCTTAGGCAGAGGACCAGACCGGTCGGAGCAGAACGGCGGCCCCGCCCCCAGAGCCCCGAGAGCAGGGACCCAACCCAACTCGCCACCTAGGCGGGAGGCAGCTGCCGCTTGGCCCGGAGATGGTGACAGGCCCGGGTCTCCCTGAGGGGCGGCCAGGGAGCACCTCCGACTCAGCACAGAGAGCTTTGTTCCCCTCGGGCCCGCGGGCCGGGAGCACGCACGGGCACGCGCTCCTCTGTCCCCCCACCCCCACGCGCCAGGAGCGCGCTTCCCGCACGCTCTCTCCCGCCCTCGCTGCACACGCTTCGGATCCGCCCCCGGAGCTGCCCCGACACCGCGGGGCGCGTGTGCCAGCCCGCACGCGCGTGCACACACTCACGCGCACCAGGGCTCCGCGGGCTGCTCCCGCGCTCCGGCGGCGGCTGCTGCTGCGCGCGCGGACTCGGGCGCACGGACCCTGTGCCGAGCCGGGCCAGCCCTGCCCCCCCCCAACCTGGATGTTTTTATGAATGAAAATGTGGTATGCAAATGAGAGCGATTCAAGAAAAACGAAATGGCGGAGTCCGGCCCCAAAGGGCTCCGAAGAGGGCTGTAGGGCAGGCGGCAGAGCCGGGAGTCACAAAGTCACCACGCACGCAAACCCATCGACCCCGGGGTGCCCCGCGTGGAGGGCGTCAGAGCTTCCGCTCGCGCAGTGCAGGGGCGGGGGGGGCCGCCCCGAGGTCACTCGCACGCCCTTGGTCCCAGCCACGACCCGGACTCGCGGACCCTCGGTGGCCCCTACAGCCTCCTCCGGGCCAGGCTGGAGAGCCTGGCGCGCAGCCTCGACACCCAGCAGCGCCCCACGCCAAGTGCCCCCAGCGAGTCCCCGCCTGCGTCCTTGGCGGCGGCCCCCCACGCCGCCCCGCCGGGCACCCGCGTCCCACCCGCAGCGAACTTACTCGTCCGGGTGTGTTTCTTCGGTCATTTTCTTGTTCACCTAGACGCCTGTCCCGCGGCGGGCAGCCTGGCTCCCTTCATCTTCCTGCGCGCTCGCCCCCCTTCCTCACATCTCCGACATCTCCTGATTTGGTGGTGGAGGGGGCAGCTGGAGAGGAAGGGGGCGCCGAGGCAGGCGGGGACCCGGGGCTCCCCGAGCGCAAGACGAGGTCGAGGAAGGGGTGCACCGGGCAGCAGCAGACGCCACAGGCCAGCCGGGCGCGGCACCCCCCCCCCCGGGCTCCAAAGGAGCGCAGGGGCGAGATTTGGGAAGGGGACCCGGAGGGGGAGAACAGCAGAAAAACAAGCGCGCTCGGGGCGGCGGGCGGCCAGCCGGCTGCGGTGGGGCCGGGCCGGGGTCGCCCCCGGGGACCGGGCCAATCAGGGTTCCGGGTAGCGCTCGGCGGCCTGGGGACGTGCGCCTGGGAGGCGGTGCAGGGCGCCCCGTCCGAACCCCATCTCGCGACTCCACCGATTTACTCCATATTGGATTCTCAGCGCCGCCAACAGGAGGAGGAAGTAGGGCGGAAGCGATGACGTCTTCCCAGCGGCCAGAGGTGGTGGAGTGCAAGAAGCTTCCTACTTGCAACCAAAAAAGAGAGAGACATAGAAAGAGAGAAGAGAGAGGAAAACACACGAGCGCGCGCGCGCGCACACACACACACACACACACACACACACACACACACGCACACGCACACCCCGCTTTGCCCCGCCTACTGAGGGCGCCCCGCTTCTACTCCCCCTCCCGCTAGCTTCCAGTCCGGGAGGAGCCGGGGAGGGGGGGCGGGGGAGGGACGGCGTGGTTGGCGCTGCGTTTGTCCGGCTCCGAATCCTCGTGTCCGGGGCTCCGGGTTTTAGGAAGCCCAAGAGGAAGGGAGGCGGGAGCGGAGGACGAGAACACATCTGGCTCCCGTTTTGTCCCCTCCCTCCTTCCAAACCTTTGGATTAAAAACCTTGTGGGGAGGCGGCGGGGGCGGAGATGGGGAGGAGTTAAGCTGCAGGCGGAGAGTTCGGGCACGGAGGCACAATGCGGGGTGCGGGGTGCGGGGTGTGGGCGGCGCAGGTGGCAGCGGCTGGCCTCAGCATCTCAACTCTGACGGAAACCCAGCAAAGAGGGAGTTGGACTTCGCCAGTGTCCTGAATAGCAGAGGAGATTCCGTTTCACGAGAATCTTGAGATCTTTTTTGTTTTTTCGACAGAGAGCAAGTGTTTTTGTATCCTGTTTTTTTTTTTCAGGGTAGCTTCAAACTTGTGTAGCGGAGGCTGACCTTGAACTCTTGATCCTTGGCCTCAGCGTTACAGCTGATGGGATTATTGTTGTGCGCCACCATGCTCACCTAGAGCGGGCATTTTTTAAAAATGGCAATTTGTACGCAAACAAAAGGTGCATCGGACCCAGCCAAGAAACTTTGTATTGCAGGCAGAAATGGAGTTAAAAGTACTTGACCTCAGCTCTTTAAGTCCATAGTTAACTGGGTCACAGATTACTGGCCCTCGATGAACTTTAGCAAAGGGGAGACCCGGGAACTCATTAACCCACCCCAGCTGTCCTTTTTTTTTTTAAGAATGTGGGTGGGGCTGCGTGCATGCATGTCTGTGCACCACGTGTGGGCCAAGGAGGGGGGCAGAGGAGGATGCTGGATCTCCTGGAACCGGAGTGGTAGCTGGTTGTTAGCCTCCGCGTAGGTGCTAGGAATTGAACCAACATCCTCTGGAAGGTCAGCCAGTTCTCTTGAGTACTAAGCCATCTCTTCCCACCTCTCTAGATGTTTCCTGCCTTGGCCTAGGACCTACCTGAGTTTTTCTGAGTCATCCCAAGCAACATTTGGACAATGAGCATGATTGTTCCCAGTCGGTGCATTTGCCTGGGATCTGAACTTGTGCTATTGAAATCCTTTACAATTTCTGAAGTGGGTGCCATGTTTTCACTTTGCACTGGATCCCACCCATTTCAGAGTCATTGGGTATCTCCTGAGGTCCCGCCAGGGAACAAGAGACATAGTCTGTCCCTTTCTGCTCCCAAAGACTAACAGACATCCGCATCTTCCTGAATATGCCATGAGAGACATTTCCAGAGAGATTTTAGCCAAAGGGGATTTTAACTAAACAAACTATGAGATTAAATATTTGCCTCAAAAATAGAAAGCTGGGCTGGATAATCCCCATTCTAAGAAGACTGAGGCAGAAGGATTGATCCAAGTTCAAGTCCAGGGAATCCTAGACCACCGAGAGCTATAAAGCGAGATCCAGTCTCAAACAAGACCACAAAAGGAAAGACAGCTATGAATGGGTCATGTCTGTAATTCTAGCATTCTGGAAGCAAAAAGGCTATAATTTTGAGGCCAGACTGGTCTACATAATGAGTTCCAGGTCAATTTAATGGTGAGTCCCTGTATCAGAGAACTAATAATAATTAATAATAATAATAAAACAAACCAGCAGCAACAAGTAAAACAAAATCTTTACACAAAACAAAAACAAACTCTTAGCGGTACATGCATAGAGAGTTTCACTTTTGAGTCAGGTGGAAACTAGTGTTCCTTTGCTCTTCACAGCCATGATCTTTGTGGATGCAGACTGAGGTTTCACACCCGATTCCAAGTGCCAGTAACATGTAGTGGTAAGGACACCAGACTTCATGAACACCCTGTATTTTGGTTTTCTCTCAGGAGACCTGAAATCCTGAAAGTGAGGTTTCTATTAATTCTTCAGCTTTCACGGGGATGACAAAGCAAACCTTGTCTTTCTTGTTTTGTTTTGTCTTGTTTTTGAGGTCATGAAGAATATGAGATGTGCTGGGTCTGGGGTAGATACCACCAACCCTGGCATTCTGGATGTAGAGGCAGCTGAGTTCCAGGACATCTAGGGCTAAATAGTGAGATCTTGTCTTAAATAGGGGGGTATGGGGGGGCGCAATGACCATAGAGATAGCTCAGTGGTTAAAAGCACTGGTTCTTCTTCCAGAGGACCCCGGTTTAATTCCCATCACCCACACAACCACTCACAATCTTCTTTCCATAACCCCACTTCCAAGTATCTGACATCCTCTTCTGGCCTTCAAGGGCACCAGGCACCCAAGTAGTTCATAGTTCTGCTTGCAGGCAAAACACTTATACACATAAAAGTAAATCGAACAAATAAAAAGCACGACATTCAGGGCTAGAAGTATAGGTAGAGTGCTTGCCTTGACATTCAAGGACCTGTGCTCCATCCTTAGCACCCACATTCGGTGCCCTACACTTGAAATCCCAATGCTGGAGAGGAGGAGGCAGGCAAAGTCCCCAAGGCTCACTAGTCACTCGTGGCCTAACTGGTAAGTCCCAACTTCCAGTAGAACTCTGTCTCAAGAAACAAGATGAATGGCTCCCAAGGAAAAACACCAAAGATTTATCCAGCTCCCCTCCACCATTCCAGCTGTGCTTGTACCTACATGGGCACACAATAAAGGAGACGGCAGGGCCTTTGACCACGAGAACTCTGAGAATACAAACTACCTGGAAAGGGCCTGTACATGGGACACAAGCTGGAACTCTATCAAAGAGTTTGTACATGGAGACTCCGAGAGACCCAAGCTGCATCTTGAGCATGATTGCAGCCCTTCTTGAGCTGGCTGTGGAATCTACAGGTTTTGACTAGCCACCTCGTCTGGATGACTAGCTCTTGCATTTAAACATGAAGATGGGGGGAGGGGGAGAGCAAGGCGGGATATTGTGGCACTGCCTGGACATCCCGTGTCGCACATCTTAGAAGATGGCCAGTTACCCACCATCACGGTGCCTTATGAACAACTTGGATTGTACTGATCTGTTTCTAGAATTTGTTGTAACATCTCAGCAACTATTTGTATTTATTCCATAGATGTCTTACTATTTTTCTCATTGTTTCTGCCACTTCCCACAAATTTAATAAAATAATGTTTCTTCCCCCCCCAAAAAAAATCAGAGACATTTTAAGTATGAGTCTGTGCCGATTTTAAAGTTTTCAACTCAGCAGCATGACCAATCTGAAAATATGGAGAGGCATCACTTCTATTCCTAGTTCTTGAGAGACTGGGGCGAAATAATCACCGCCAGTTGGGGCACACAGTGTCAAGATAGCGCGGGTTACAGTGAGATCCTGCGTCAAAAAACAAAACAAACAAAAACTGATCGGTAGCACACTCTTGTATCCCAGGAGGCAGGAGGGTCAGGAGTTCGAGGTCATTGAATTCCAGGTCAGCCTGAGCTACTTAAGACTTCCTCTGTCTTTTAAAATAAAGTGTTGATTCAGTAAGATGGTAAAACTTCTGAAGTACTATCGATCTGCTCACAACTTCACAGAAACCCAGCGCAGCTGCCAGCCTCTTGATTCCGCGGGGGAGACCCTACAGATCTTCCTTTCCCTGGAGGAGGAGGGCTTCGGGAGAGCTTGATCTGGGATCCACAGTCCGAGTAGCAGGGCAGGTCCTGCTTTTCAAGCCGGCGGCCCGGGGACGCAGCAAAGCGGGCATTTAGGCCTCCCCTGCAGCCGGCTCTCCTGGCCCCGGCAGGGCTGCGGCAGCACGTGGGATCGCAGGCCACGAGCTGGCTCCAGGACTGTCCTTGCCTCACCCCACTCTGCCCCTTTGGTATTTCTCAATGACCGGCGCTCGAGGACACTTCCGACGCAGGGGAGGGTTGCCACTCGCATGGTTTTATCAGTTCCTTCCGGCCGCGCCCTGACTGCCTGCTGCAGGCGCCTCCATCACTACGCGCTCCGGCAAGCGGCCACGGATACCCGCTGTGCCAAGGGAGCCCAGGACCCACAAGACTTAGAGACGCCACTGCCCCGCGGGGTGAATGGCTCCGGCCCGTTGCGCAATCTCCGGTAATAATTAGCCAAGGGCGGTGGCCAGGGCTGGTCCCCCAGGCAGCATACTCCCTGCTCATTTTCCCTTTCGGTTGCGATGCGTGCGTAGCCAGGATTTTATTAAATAAGAGTTGAAAGGTCCCTGCCCCGCCTGCCTCCACGCGGGGTCAGGTATTATGAATGAAATGCCAACCCTGCTACTTCTGAGGTCACACCACCAGGTAGGAGGGTGGCTCGACGCGTGCTCCACGGCTCACCAAAGGTTCGGGTGTGCCTTTGCTGGGGAGACACAGAAGGCAGGAAGTGATCGCCCGAGCGGGAAGGAAGCATTCTTTGTGTAAAAATGTAACCGCCAGGGTTTGCCCCAAGTTTCAGTTTACAATTGTTCAAGCCTCAGCGGGTTTAAGAATGGGATGGGTTATGCAAGGGTCTTTCTCCGGCCGTGGCTGCTCACCCTCTAAGAGGCTGCTGCCGGGTGGGAAGAGCTGTATCGGAGTAGTCAGTTATAATCTCATTCTTGCCCCACCTTTGCTGACTCTAAAAGCCTGGGTGGAGGGGAGCCAGATTTGGGGGTCCACTCCTGTATTCTCAACAGGAGGCAAGAGGATCGCAAATTGGACCCTATCTTAAAGTGAGGGATAAATCCTAACATTTGGGGAGGATCGGAATTTCAAAGTCGGTCTGCGCATGGGGCACAGTTGGTACAATGCATGTAACAGCGGGAAACAAAGTCCTGGCTTCGGTTCCTCAGATTCTCATTAATCTGACCGTGAAGTTGTGCGCAGACCTCCAATATGGAATGAGAAACTCAAGGTCATTCTTACCTACACAGTTCGGGATTGGGAGAGGGAGGGGGGTCCCGAGGAATGAAGATTAATTCAGAAACTACAGTGACTGAAGCCTGAGCGGTGTTCATGTGTATGTGGGGGGGGGGGGCGACGATGGTGTTTTGTTTTCGCAGACCGTTGTGAGCTGCCATGTGGGTGCTGGAAATTGAACCCAGGTCCTCTGGAAGAGCAACTCGTGCTCTTAATCGCTGAGCCATCTCTCCAGACCCTTATTATTGTTTTCTTATGGGTAAAATTTTATTACCATCGTGTTTTGAACGAACTTTTTTTTTTTAAATCAAAGGACATATTCCTGAGTTCTAGTTTTCCTCCTGTAAAGTTTTTGACTCCACCTAGTCGCACAGTCCTTCGGCAGGCAGGCAGCGACGACATCCATGTACTCTGCCTTATTCTTTGGTAAAGCACCAGTAGCCTTTAAGATGGGTTTGTCAGTTTTCAGTCACATCACCTACACCTATGGCAGGCTCTGTGGACCGCAGAAATGACCTTCTTGGACCCCGAGGACAGCTTTACTCAGATCTTTTTGGTCTCCGAGTTGCGGGTGATCCCTGAGGTATAGCTACATGAGGTTCGTGCCGACTTCTCCCTACAGCAGTCCAATAACACCCTCAAGCATGATTCTCACATTGCAAAACCTTGCCGATGTGATGCTCTGCTGGGTTTTCGTGCCTCGGATGCGCGAACTGTCTAAGGCAGATTGCCTCTGCAGCGACGAACGGCTCTGTTCGCTTCTTAAATCTGTAGGGATCATGAAAGACCACTTTCCTGGATGGTTTTATGTCAAGGCAGTTATTTTTCAAATCCTCCGAAGGCTCGAGGTTCTCCATGAAGCAACAAGGATACCCAGATTTCCTGCCTGCTACGCTTTGGGTTGTGTGCGCCACGCATCTAAAGAACAGATTAGGATTGTGGCCCGTGGTTGGTGTTTGTGTACGTGGGGTAAGCCATAGCGTAAACTGAGGTTGAGAAAGGCAGTCCCGGGGAAGGGAAGTCTGAGTCAAATCTTGGAGGACACTGTGTTGACAGCGTTGTGGGTAAGCAACAGAGAGAGGAGGGAAAGGGAGAGAGTGGATAGACTCAAAGGCCATGAGATGCGAGGCTCACTGGTGTTAGAGGCTGGGACACATAGCTAACTACAGGACCCAAATGGTAGAAACAGGGCTAGGGAGGCCACAGGGTCCAAGCTAAAGGTGAGATTTTACTCTGAAGTCATGCCAATTCACAACTAGTCTTCGTTAAGTCCAGGTACCCTCCATTGCGATTTTAGCTTTGCAAATGTAGGCCAAGTGGCATCCATTGTTCTGGGATTAGTGAATAAAACCAGAGTCACAGACAGACAGCTCACAAGCAGGGAAAGGCTCTCAGATAAGTTAGTTTTGACTGCTTTTCAATTTTTTTTTTAAGTAAAACTGAACTTTAGGCAAGAATATTTTGTATGTAAAACTTGAGATCATCATTTCCTCCTGGAAGAAAAAAAGAAAGAAGGAAAGGAAGAAAGAAAGAAAGGAAGGAAGGAAGAAAGGATTTGGCAACTGTGAGTGCCAAGCCCTAGCTTGAGTGACGCTAGCTAGCTGCTGGCCCCAGGAGGCATTTGAGCTTTTGACCCTCGGAATAAAAGAACATTTTGTGTCTAGATCCAAACTCCCACTCCTGGTTCCAGGTAGCAGCAAGAGATTGTTACTGAGGAAAGCAGTTTTCCTGGGAGGAAAGACACTGATCCCAACTCCCCTCCCCCAAGAAGCCTACATTATGGGTGGGCAAGTCATGCAGGGTGCATTCAAGAGGCGTTGGTCACAGCCCAGTGACAAAGAACAGCGGGGCTCCTAACGCAACAGCTAATGCCCATCCCGGTTCGGGCTCAGTTTCTAAGATAACCTGGCCATCTGCCACCCAGTAGGGGGGTCCAAGTGACCAGTTGAAAAAAAAGTCACAAAATTCAGTCCCGCTTGTACCCCACATTTTCGGAGCAGGATATGCAAGCCATGTACCCAAACCAAACATTTTAAGCAGAGAACACAGGTCTCATTTTTACAATCCTGTGAGATTTGATTACTCCAGGCACAGAAGATGGTTTGAAGTGAGCAAAGTCAAAACTAGTTAGGAAGACATTTTCTTCCAAGAACAGAAATAACGACGCATGACAAAGCAGTGTGTGTGGCTGTGAAGACAGATCATGAGTTTCCAAGACACAAGTGTGGGAGACACGGCCTGTCTCTGTGGTCTGTGAGGCACAGGATCTCGGGAAGAGGTCTGGGATAATCCCTGATTTCTAACTTGAGCCTCTTGATCCTCCTACCAAAATCAGCATAATCATCATCATCAGAGGAGGGCGGCTTGGATCGCTTAAGGCAGAGCCACTTAATAGGCGATCACTTACCACTCAAGCTGGGCCCCACAACATGCCAGGCCGCGGGAAAGCAGAATCCAGAGATGGAGATGGGACATCGTTAGTTCGTGCGCGTGGGGTGTGACAGAGCACTTGCACCCTATGCCTAGGGTGAAGCCTGACTTTCAAGGTATAAAAGCTAAACACATCTTTACATTTTTTTTCCTTTTTAGCTTGAGCTAGGTTGAGTTGGACTTCCATCACTAATAGCCAAAAAAAGTCAGTCAAAATAAAAACAAATGTCTTTTGAATGGTAAGGAGAGTGAAAGAAACTTAATTCACGGAATATAAGGTGATTGTAATCTGTTACTATTATCAGCACTATTTTGATTTCTCACCACTTATTCGTGACAACTATTTCACATTCACAATTGTGTTTTTCTTTTAATATTTAATTAGTTAATTTTTGAGAAAACATCTGACTACATATCCTTGGCTCTCCTGGACATGATGTAGACTAGGTTGACCTCCTGAACACACAGGGATCTGTCTACCTCTGCTAGGATAAAAGGCATGGACCATCATGCCTAAATATAATTAAATCTGGCTCATGGGCCAGATAAGACCCTCAGAGAAGGTCCTGATTGCTTTTTAAAATTTTTTTCTTAAATAAAACTACATTTAAAATGATAATATTTGTTGGGCAGTGATGTCACATGCCTTTAATCCCAGTACTGGGGAGACACAGGCAGGAGGATCTCTGTGGGCTTGAGGCCAGCCTGTTCTACAGAGCAAGTTCCAGGGCAACCAGGGTACACAGAGAAACCTTGAAAAACAAAAACAAATACAACATTTTTTATCTAAAACTCCTCTTGGGGACAGGCAGGACATGGCAACAGTGAATGCCAGTTCCTACGTAGCCCTAGCAAACGCACGCATGTATGTGTGTGCGCATGTTTGGGAACAGATGCAAACATGTGGAGATCAGATAGCATGCAGGAGTCTCTGTTTTCTCTGGTCAGAAGTTCTCTGAGATGAGTTGGCTCTGTCAGAATGGAATCTTCCAAATCACTGATCCTGTGAAGGGCCCCACAGATAGCATAGATTTTAAACTGCCCATCAACCCCGCCTGGGATCTTGTCAGCCACATTATCTGATGGAGGCCTAGGCCTTGCAAGCACTATCTGTTACATTTGCCAATAGAGCATTTCCTAGTACGTGCAGCACATGTACTGGGCTTGGCCATACCATTTGCATGTAGAGGCCAGGTCTTCAGCCCCTTAAGTTCAAAACCAAGAGCTTCTTTGTCAGGGGTGGTGGCAGAGGTGGGTGGGGGAGTGGGAGGGGTGTTGAGAGAGGGCCTCACCAAATAGCAATGTCTGGTTAATGACTTGCTATTTACACCGAGTTGTCTTAGAAGTCACAGTAATTCACCTGTCTCAGCCTCCCGAGCGTTGGGATGACAGGCAGGCTCCTGAGGGAGATTTTAGGATGTGGTCTAGCAGTAAACACAGATACATCTGACCAGTACTTCGGAACCACAGAGACTTGGTATACTGGGGTTTAGTCAGCACTGTGAGATGTCCGGTCCTGTCTAGTGCTGGTGTCCTAACCCTGACATCACCATCTCACTCCAGCTCCCTCCCCCCCACTGCACATCCTGTCTAACTCTTACCCCTTGTGTTCACCACTGTCTCTCTCCTAGACAACGGCAAAGGAAGGGAATAATGCAGAGAGAATCCGATTTTTAGAAATGAAAGAAGATAAAAGGTCTAAGTTTATGGCAGCTGTGGTTTCAATAAATCAAACATCGTTGGATTGTCATTGTTTTGGTGTGTGTGTGTGCGCGTGCGCGCGTGCGTGCGCGCGTGTTGCTTGAGACAAGGTCTTACTCTAGCCATAGCTGCCCTGGATGGAACTCACTGTGTGGACCAAGATGGCTGCTAATTCAAATCACCTGTCTCTGTTTCTCAAGCCCTGGGACTAAAGGCATGTGACACCAGGCCCAGCCTTTGTTTTGTTTTGAAATAAGTCTCTGGTAGCCCAGGCCACCTTCCAGTCATGGTGATCACCCTCTTGTATAGCTTTCCATGGGCTGAGATTACAAGCATGCACTACTTGCTTAAATTAAACATGTTTTGCACTAGACAAGACTGGACACCTCATAGTATTGACTAAATCCTATTATACTCAAGTCTCTCTGGATCCTTGGTACTGGTCAGGTGTGTACCTACGCTAGGGATGGAACACTGGTCTTTACTATGCTGGGATGGAACACTGGTCTTTACTATGCTGGGATGGAACACTGGTCTTTACTATGCTGGGATGGAACACTAGTCTTTTCCACGCTCGGCAATGCTTTCCCACTGAGCTCCATCCTCACCCCCACTGAAATATCATCTAAGATCTTTTGTTCTGATGAAAGCAGTACAGTAAGACTGCAACCTGCATCAGCTCACCACTGCCTGTAACAAGCCACCGTGAGTACAGTAGCTTGAAGTGGGAAGCATGACTCTCCCATCTGTCTGCTCATTTGCTCTGCTGGTGAGCCTGCTCAGCTGGGACCAGGCAGCCTAGGACAGCCTCTCTCGCTGCTATGATGGCCAGGCCGAATAGCATGAGCTGGGTTAGCTCAACTGTGCTCCGTGTGATCTGTTAACCTCCAGCAGGCCAGCCCAGAGGGGATCACATGGTGGTAGCAGGGTTCCCAGATCAGCAACAAGGCCAGCCTCACTGTACATGCATTTTTCTTAAAGGCTCTGTTTAAATCACATTTGTTAATACTCCATTAGCTAGAAAGGTCATGTGGTCATCCCAGAGTTAAGAGTCAGGTAAGATCGGCTGGGTGGTGGTGGCGCATGCCTTTAATCCCAGCACTCAGGAGGCAGAGGCAGGGGATCTCTGTGAGTTTGAGACCAAGCCTGGTCTACCGATCGAGTTCCAGAGAAACCCTGTCTCGAAAAAACAAACAAAAAAAGAGTCAGGTAAGTTCTACTTGAAGGAAAGTCATACCACATACAAGAAGTATATAAAACGAGGATTTTGTTGACATTTTTCTTACAATCTGCTTTACTGCAAATAGTGAGTATTTATACCTAGGCATGATGGTGCATGTCTCTATAATCCCAGCACTTGGGAGGTAGAAGCGGAGTGTCAGAAGTCCAAGGTTATCCTTGCCTATATAACAAGAGCCAGGCCATCCTGGACTATGTGAGGCTTTATCTCCAAACAAACAAAATATGCACACAAGTAAATAAACGGAAAGGAAAAAAAGAGGAGAGGCAAAGCCTTGCTGTGTGAGTACCCATGTGTTCGGATGCTTCTGGAGGTCAGAGGGCAGGTGGAAGAGGTCAGATCTCTCTTCCCACCATCGTGGTCTCAGAGACCGAATGCAGGCTGTCTGGCTGGGCAGCAGATGCCTTTATCTACTGAGCTGTCTCCACAGACCAGCTTGTTAAAACAGACGTGTTTCCAAAGAGATCAGGCGATGAGCATGTCTGTAAACCGAGGTGCATTGAAGAAAACACTAATTGTTTAAAGAGACCTAATTGTTTAAAGTTGCTCTTGAAGCTGCTGACACGGCTCAGCGGTGAAGAGCACCTGTTGCTCCTGCAGGGGACCCAGGACTGGTTCCACGCACCTCTGTGGTAGTTCCAGTTCGAGGGGATCTGATGTCCTCTTCTGGCCTCAGTGGGGACTGCACAGATATGTAACATCCAGGTGAAATACTCGTGCACATAAAGTAAAAATAGGTGTTTTGTTCTCAACTGAATTCTTGGAGAAGTAAATAATTGCTTCTTGGTTGTCCACTCTCTCTCCTCACAATGAGAGGGCTGAAGAGAGAAGGTTGAGAAGGGGTGGTATGGCGTGAGGTGTCTGGAGGCCAGGAGGAAGGGGCACCCTTCCCGAGCACGTGGAATCACTTCCTCCTGGAAGGCTTTCTCACTTCCCGTCATGAGGCTGTGAGTCCGTGTGAGCCCTCTTTTCCTCTGTCCTACTTAGTCCCACACCTTTGGTTGTTTACCCGCCTTTTTTCTTACTAATAAGTGACAAAAGAAAAAGGACACAGAGTTTAGGGTTAAGGAGGAGAGGGTGAACCTGGGTGAAGTTAGGGCAAATAGGATAAAAATACATTATATTGAATTCTCAAAGAATTAGTAAAATAGGGTTTTAAATTTTTACCAGTGCACATGCGTTGGCATGTGTGTACCACAGTGGTGCGTGTGCAGAGGCTGCAGGACAACTAACATGAGTTGGCTTTTTTCCTTCCAACATGTGGATCCTAGAAATCACACCCAGCTCTTCAGTCTTGGTGGCAAGTGCTATGACCCACTAAGCCACCCCTCTGACCCTGTTCACCGGCGTTGCCTTCCCACAGTATTTATAAACTCAAGGAGGCAAGAAGAGAGACTGTGTCTCATTCCCCTTAGCTTTAAGTCACCCTTACCACCCACAGAGCAAATGAAACAACCACAAAGCTTGTCCTCTCTTATCTCTTTAGAGTGTGTTACAACAAAACGAACAAAAACTTTGGGTGGGGTGTTTCAGGTTTTATCCCAGCCCTAGGAAGGCAGAGCGGAGGATGGTCATAATCCCAAAACCAGCCAGGCCTTCGGTGAGTTCCAGGCTAGCCATGAACGTGACATTTTATCTTCACAAAAAGGAAAAGAAGAGTGGGGTTTGGGGCTTGGGAGATTGCTCAGTCGGTAGAGCACTGGCCTGAGGTGGGGGAGACCGTGGCTTTGATCCTCCACATCACATAAAACGCTCCTGGTGGCGTATGCTATGCCTGTAATCGCCGTGCTCGGGAAACAGAGGTGGGTGTGAGCGTGTGTCAGGGTTTCAAGGTAATTTCCAGAAAGCAAAACAAAACACTCATCTAGTGATGGTCATCTGGCAAAGGCTCTTGCTGCCAAGCCTGATGATTTGAGTTTGACTCCTAGAACTCACAAGTGGAAAGAGAGAACTTGACTCTCTCAAGTTGCTCTCTGACCACTGCGTAAGCTTCGTGGAATGTTCCACCCAAGCCTCCCTCCCAAATAAATAATGACATAGCAATAAGAGTTTCAAGGTAAGCCTTGGCTCATAGGGGATTTCAAAGTCAGCTTGGGCTACATGAGACACCATCTTAAGTAAATAAATAAATAGATCTTGCCCCATGACTTCAGAGTTATGTATACTGAATCACTTCATTTTCCCCTCCTAGTGTCAGATAAGCAGCTGGGCAGTTCCTATAAACTGAACGGTAATATGGTCACAGAGTTCTAAAGTCCAAAGGACATTAAGGAACCACCTGTTTTTAAGGTAAAGACGCTAGCCCAGATAAGCTCAGTGACTCACTTTGGACCACACCGAGAGTAAGGGCCAAATCAGAACTGTCAAATCAGGGACTCAAAGTCCAGATTCTATAACCAAGGTACCTTTGTTATAATCGGGCAGGGCGCACACAGGCTTCCTGCTGGGCCAGTGGAAAGAAGGCTCTATTCCTCATTGGGTTGTAACTCATTCATAAAGGAGTAAATGAGGGCTGTCTCTTCCCTCAGCAAAGACTGACTGGAAGCAAGTGTCTTGACTCCCACCCGGAATCCCAGTACTACAAAGGCTGAACCAGGAGGATATCGGTGAGTTACAGGCTGGTCCACACTACGTAAGATGACGCTGTCTCAAAAAACAAAAATGAAAATGAACTGGAATAAACATCAATGACAAAAAGGATGGCACAGTGATGGTAGACACATATACACGTGGCTTCTGTTTGTGGCTTACCTGAAATCCAGGTGGCCACTGCCAGTTGGGTAACAGTTCTTTAAGGGTGGCTGGCTTTTTCTTTTCTTTTTGTAGTATATATCCCAGGTCAGCCTCAAACTCGGTAAACAAGGATGGCCTTGAACTTTTGATCCTGTCTCTGCCGGCAGGGCTTGGTGCATGCCGGGTAAGCACTCTTCCTCAGCCCCTGATTTCATTTATTCTTTTGCATCCTGATCGTAACTCATCCAAACTTCCACCTTGGCATCTCTAACAAATGGTGACTCTGCTTTTTTTTTTTTTTTTTTTTTTGGTTGTTTTTCGAGACAGTTTCACTTGTAGTACTGGCTGTTCTGGAACTTGCTCTGTAAACCAGGCTGGCCGTGAACCCAGATCCGCCTGCCTCTGCCTCCCGTGTGCTGGGATCAAAGGTGTGCGCCACCACTGCTTGACTGTCTTTAACTATCTTTCTTTACCAATTGTAAATTCCTCAAGTGAGTAGAGAAAAAAAATGATCAAATGAAGGTTTACACCCACATATTTATGTTTAAGAATGCCCAACGTACACAGAGCATCCTAAAACCATTTATAGACTGAACCAGGGATGTGCTTACATTGCTTTTGCTTTTCCGGTGACAACACTGATGCTGTGGGTAAATTGACACTATTGTCTATAGAGCTCTTCCTCCTGTCAAGTCAAGTTGATGAGGCTCACACTGATACCACAGGTCACAAAGGATTTTATCAGTGGCAGCATCACACCTGTTTCATTTCAGATATGCCTCACAGATAGACCAGCAGACCTTTGATCTGAAGCCCCAGGGCTGAAGTCTTTATCTGGGCATCTTTGGGGCCAGCCTGGGCTGGCTGCAGGCTCACTGCATGACAGAAACCTTCTTTCAAAATAAATAACTTAAGTCTTCTAGTGGTTCTGGGGTTGAAGGCTCTGCTTCCAGATTTCCCTACTTGTGAACTTAAATTTTTGGTTTTTTCTTTTTTTTTTTTCAAGACAAGGTTTCTCTGTGTAGCTTTGTAGCCTGTCCTAGTACTCATTCTGTAGACCAGGTTGGTCTCAAACTCACAGAGATCTGCCTGACTCTGCCTTTCAAGTGCTGGGATTAAAGGCATGTGCCACCACCACTCAGCTCTGGACTTAAATTTTAATTTTGGAGTTTTAGGCAATACCAGACAGCTCAAAGAGAAATGGAAGATTCCTTGGTATTTCTTTACTCTTCATTTATATATTTATTTATTGGTTTTTGAGACAGGGTTTCTCTGTGTAGCACTGGCTGTCCTAAAACTCACTCTGTAAACCAGGCTGTCTTTGAACTCAGAGATCCTCCTGCCTCTGCCTCCAGAGTGCTGCAATTAAAGGCGTGTGCCACTACTGCCCAGCGGCAAATCCTTTCTTAAGGAAAAAGATGGTAAAATTTTCCATCCTGCATGCCATATGGTGGCTATAGGCAACATTTAAATAGATGTGTGGCCATATTTCAATAAAACTTTATAAATTATGTGGTCAAATTGGATAGGAGCTATAGTCTGTCTTTGGAGGCAGGGTCTTACTTTGACCTGGAACTCACTCTGTAGTCCAGGGTGGCCTTGAACTTATGGCTCCTCCTACCTAAGCCTCTCAAGCTTTGACATTTCCAGTGTGAACCACAGTGATCAGCATTTTTGTTCTTCTGAAGCAGGGACATGCGCGTACTCCATGCTGGCCTCAACCACACTGTGTAGCCAGGGATGACCTTGAACTCCCGATCTGCTTGCCTGTGTCTCCTGACTGCTAAGACTGTGGTGTGTGCCACCAAGCACGGCCTGGTGTGCTTTAATAAAAGGACATGCTCAATAAACGCCTGATCTCCTAAAATAGAACAAATCGAATTTCTATTTTACAAAAAAAGGAAGCTGAAAACACAGAGGTTGGGTAGCATGAACAACACCATCTGATGAGCATTAAATAAAAGACCTGAGCCTGAGTGGTCTTACTGCCCTGCGTGGCCGACAGACAGCTGCTCCCAGGGAGCTGGGAGAGGTTACTGTAGCTGGATCTTGAAAACTGAATCAATGTAAGATAAGAGCTCTAGGCCATGGGTACTAGGTCTAGAAACAGATGCTACCACATGGTATCATGAGCCCACCACAGGGAAGGAAACAGCTTCCTTGCAAAAGGAATGATTTCACTTTCCAGTATCTGGTCAGGCCTGAACATAGGGTCTGAGCCAGAGAACCATGGATATAAGACTGGAGAAATGTGCGGAGCCCTTTCATGACATGCACTCATGTGGATTTTAACTTGGTGACAGATGGGAGAGAATGACCATATTTGCATTTTAGGTCAATTTTTAAAATTACGTTTTATTTTAAAATGAGATGTTCCATACATATTGTATGATCGTCTAAAGCTGAAAAGATCTTCCTCCTGTCAGCCTTTAATTTTTATGTTTTAAAATTTTGAGACAGAGTCTCACTATGTAGCTCTGGCTGTCTGGGAACTCATTATGTAGACCAGGCTGGCCTGGAACTCACAGAGCTCTGACTCTTCTGCTTCCCCAGTGCTGGGATTACAGGTATGGACTTTTATGCCCAGCCCTCCTGCCAGTTTTCAACCATCATAACCTGTCCCAGGGGCCCTCACTGTTTTCAGTTAGAAAGGTTAACTTTGCTGTTATAGTGCAAGCCTATGATCCTAGCCCCTTGGAAGGCTGAGGCAGGAGGATCAGGAATTGAAGGTCATCTTCAGATACATAGGGAGGTTGGGGCCAACATGAGCTGAGCTGCTGAGATCCTTTCTACAAACAAACAAACAGCAAACAAAAAAATAAAATATAAAATCTTACTAGATTAGCTTGGGCTAGCTGAATTTCTTAACTCATTACTCTCATTACTAGCAATCCCTATACCTGACCTGAGGTCACAGTCCCTGTCGTAGTACTGTTTGCTCAGCAACTCTACTGTTTGACTCTTTCCTTGATCCTCTGGGCCTTTAGGTAGAACCTTAATGTCTCACTCCAATGGACTGCCTTGTTCTGGCAGTTTCCCTACCTTCTCAAAAGGCGTTATTATTCTCAATGAGACGCTAATTGGTCAGGGGATATGGTTGCTTGTGTGCAATCTTAACAATCTTAAGGGTTAAAATGGGTAATGGGCCCCTAAAATACAACTTACTCAATAAAATAATTTTTATTATTCAAAACTTTTATTTTTGCATGCGTGTGCGTGTGTGCGCGTGCGTGTGTGTGTGTGTGTGTGTGTGTGTGTGTGTGTGTGTGTGTGTGTGTGTAAGGGAATGCCATGTGTGTGGGTGTCCTTGAAAGCCAGAGGGCATGGTGCATTACTTGGAACTGAAGTTACAGGCCACCTGATGTGGGCGCTGGGAACTGAACCCAGATGATCTGAGTCATCTCTACACATCTCAACACAATCTTATCAGCTAGAGAAATTTATTGTAAGTTAAAATTTCCTTCTTAGGATGAATAGTAATGAGAAAAGGCTAAGCTGGGTGTGGTGAGACATGTCTGTAATTTGAGCAGAGACAGATGAATAGTGAGTTCAAGACCAGCCTTGGCTACATAGTGAGTTCAAGGCCTAGCAAACCCCTGTCTCAAAAACAGACTAAAATAGATTGAAAAGCACCGTCTTGCTTGGTGTGGTAACGTGCCTCTGTAACCCAGCACTCAGGAGGTGGAGGCCAGAGTGCTAAGGTGAACTCATCACGGATCTGTGCCATGAGACCCTATCCCAAAAACACAGAGAAAGAGAACAGAATGCTAAAGTGTTATCCTAGCCTGAGGTCTGAAAAGTGAGTGTTCTGTCCTTTTAAAAATTATCTCTTCAAGACACTCCGCTTGTCTTCTGAGCTCCCCTGTTGCCTTGGACACCTCAAACCCTGCCTGTCTTCCCTAAGCTGGTAATATTCCAAGTGGGGCCCTCCCTTTTTCCTTCCCTTGGCCACTCCAAACGCTGCCTGCCTTTCCGGGAGCATACACCTCCATCTCTGCTAGAGGCCCCCTCTTTTTCCTCCATAGAGAGTCTACATCACACTGTTGTCAGAGCCTTTTGCTTTGCAGGACTATGACTCTCACTTTGCAAAGAACCCTCTCTTCTTCTTCTTCTTCTTCTTCTTCTTCTTCTTCTTCTTCTTCTTCTTCTTCTTCTTCTTCTTCTTCTTCTTCTTCTTCTTCTTCTTCTTCTTCTTCTTCTTCTTCTTCTTCTTCTTCTTCTTCTTCTTCTTCTTCTCCTTCTTCTTCTTCTTCTTCTTTTCCTCCTCCTCCTCCTCTTCCTCGTCCTCCTCCTTCTTGTTTTTGTTTTTCGAGACAGGGTTTCTCTGTGTAGCTTTGGAGCCTGTCCTGGAACTCACTCTGTAGACCAGGTTGACCTGGAACTCACAGAGGTCCACCTGCCTCTGCCTCCCGAGTTCTGGGACTACATAGGCATGCGCCACCGCTACTCACCAGAACCCTCTCTTCTAAGAACCTTCATTGACTGCTTACCTTGTAGAGAGCCACCACCCTTCCCTCCCTCTTGCTCAAAGCCCACCATCCAGAGCTCTTAGAGGGCCTTCAGATCTGCAGGAAGAGCCCTCGCTGACCCTGCCTCCAGCACTCCACTAAAACAGTGCTGAAAGTGCACCCACCCCGCAGATCAGAGGCTGTACCCCGTCAACCCCGCGACACCCCCACCTCTGCTAGCACAAAGCCGTGACTTGTGTGGTCCTATGGTGTACCTTCTCTTAGCTGAACTGGAGTCACCTCAGCTATTCTGTTCACAGATCTACCGTGTGGCCTTAGCTTTGAGCCTCCCCAGCTGATCCCAAATCAGAGAAATCAGAGTAACAGCAACAGCAGGTCCAAACACCCACTCGGTACAGGGATCAGAAACTCACACAAAAAGACAACAGACAACCTAACTCCTCACCCTGGCTCCAGCTGCAAAAACATAAGCAATGCAAACAAATAAACAAACAAAGACAGTTTGTCATCTCCAAACATCACCAATCCTGTCACTAACAGTCCCCACCAACAATAACTTAAATGAAAGTTAAGACATGATATTCAAAATTATCGGCGTGACATGTTCTAGAAGTTCAGAGAGGGCATGAGTAAATGCTTTCACGACCTTAAAAGAAGATAGGAATGAACTGAATAAATCCACATGATGGCTTATTAACATCTGTAACTCCAGTTCCAGGGGATCTCATGTCCTCTATGGTCTCCTTGGACACCAGGCAAGCACAAGATGCACAGCCTTACATGTAGGCAAAACACTCATACACATAAAAAGTAGGCTAGGGAGGATCGATCATTCAGTTAAAGAAAAGTTTATATATAAAATGCCTGAACAGAACGTGGAGGACCCGAGGGATCCCATGACAAGACCGCAGCTACAAATTATGGGCACAGAGTGAGAAGAATTTCAGGTCAAAGGCATAGAAACATAGTTTCAGTAAAATCGTAGAAGAAAATTCCCCAAGTCTAGGGAGAGATGCCTGTCCATAGACAAGGGGCACACAGAGCACCAAATAGGTAGGACCACAAAGTCACTCCCCACACTACATTGTAGTTAAAACACTAAATACACAAACAGAGAGGGTATAAAAGCTGCAAGTAAGAAGACCTAAGTCATAAAGAAAGGCAGTGGGCCCACTATAATAACAGCTGACTCCTCAATGGAAAGTTTAAGTCAAAGAAAGGGCTTAGAGGAATGTGCTTCATACCCAGCAAGATCCCACTCATAATTGAAGTAGAAAGAAAAACTTTTCATGATAAAAATTTGACCTCAAAGGCAGCCCTATAGAGAATACTGGGAGGAATACTTCGGACTAATGAGAAAGATAAGAATATCCATAAGGCTACAGGAAAAAGATAATTTTAGAACAATTATTATGGAAAGCAGGACTAAGAAAAAAAGTCAACAAGACAGAAGCAATGCCGGGCGGTGGTGGTGCACACCTTTAACCCCTGCACTCAGGAGGTAGAGGCAGGTGGATCTCTCTGAGTTTGAGACCAGCCTGGTCTACAAGAGCTACTTCCAGGACAGCCTCCAAAACTACAGAGAAACCCTGTCTCGAAAAACCAAAATAAGTAAATAAATAATCCAAAATGTCTTTAAAGTTCAAAGTCTTTCAGCTGTGGACTCCCGTAAAATTCAAAATTAAGCTAAATATTTTCTTCAAGAGAGAAGAACTGGGGTGCAGTCACAATCTGAACACAGCAAAACCAAACTCCAACAGTGTAAATAGCTCAGGGTCCAATTATCTGGCATTTACTCACGAGCTTCTGGGCTCCTCCGAGGGAACCGGGTCACTTCTCTGGCTGTGCATTCTGCAGTGCACACACAGCTTGTCTGCTAGGCTCTGGCTGGCTCCCCTCCGCTGCTGCCCCCTTCTTGGTGGTCACCATGGTGCTGGCATCTCCAAAGCTGCCGGGGTCCTCTGCGGCTGCTGGCTGCACAGTCGCTAGTACTTTCCCATGGGCTCTCTCGCTGCGGTGCAAAACCTCAGCTTCTCGGCACGGCTCCCTCAATTCTGGGCCGTACCTTCACCCATGGCCTGCCTGGCCTCTCACAGCACCAAGCCTCAGCTGCTCTCTGTGAGCCCTCCATGCCTTTAAAACCAGCACCACCTGTGATTCTTACACTACCAAGTTCAGCTGTCAGTGCCAGGTTCAACCTTGGCTGTGTCTTAAACATTTCCCAGAAGACTTCACCTAGATAATGCTGGTCTCTTAATCACCACTCATTTCTCAGCTCCAGCGCCCCCAGCAAAGGTTTTACTTCAGTGGTTCTGGTCCCTTGTTAATCACGGTTGATTTTTCTTCTCCGGCTGGCCAGACACCACAGATTCTTCACACAAATGAACCAGGGAGAGTTTTTGCTTCCCTCTGAAACTTCACAAGCCAGGCCTCTATTGTCCGCACTGCTCTCCACAGTCTTGTAAGCTCCAACAGAACAGCTTAGCATTCAATGTCTCTTCTAGCCCAAAGTTCCAAAGTCCTTCACCATCCTCCCCAAAACACGGTCAGATCGGTCTCCGAAATGCCCCATACCCTGGTGCCAATTTGTCTTAGTTAGGGTTACTGTTGCTGTAATGAGACATCACAATCCAGGGCAGCTTGGGGAGGAAAGGTTTTTTTTTCACTCACTCACAGTTCTGCATAACAGGGAATAGTCAAAAGCAGTGAGGGCAGGAACTCAGACAGGAACCTGGGGGCAGGAGCTGATGCAGAGCCCATGGAGGGAGCTGCTTACTGGCTTGCTCCTCATGGCTTGCTCAGTCTGCTTTCTTATAGAACCCTGGGCCATCAGCCCAGGGATGGCCCCACCCACAGTGGGCGGAGCCCTCCCCCCTCAATCACTAGTTAAGAAAATGCCCTACAGGCTTGTCTACAGCCCGATCCCTGGGAGGCATTGTCTTAATGGAGGTCCCTCCTCTCAGATGACTCTAGTTTGTGTCAAGTTGACATAATACTATCTAGCGCACTGAATGAATTATGAAACAGAATAGAATACAAGGAGTCATTTCAGTTTCCTGTATGTGCTGAGATTTGCTTCATGCCCCGTATGTGGTCCACGTACAGAAACTTCCCCAGGCTCCTGCACCAGTGTTTGTACACATCAGAAGAGGTGGAGGGTGTGTCGTGGGGATCCATGGAGCGCAGACTCAGCCTGTGGAACGAGTTTGTCTGTACAAGAAACACATCGGACCTTCAGAGATGGACACTACTTTATCGTGGAAGAATAGGAAAATATTATTCCAAGCAACCAACTAAGACTTGGAAGCGAACAGACTTATCTGATAAAATAGACTTCCAGCCAAAACTATCAGAAGAGGTAAAAGTTCTGATCAAGAGAAAAGTCCAGGCCGGGCGTTGGTGGCGCACACCTTTAATCCCAGCACTTGGGAGGCAGAGGCAGGCGGATTTCTGTAAGTTCGAGACCAGCCTGGACTACCAAGCGAGTTCCAGGACAGCCTCCAAAGCCACAGAGAAAAAAAGAAAGAGAGAGAGAGAGAGAGAGAGAGAGAGAGAGAGAGAGAGAGAGAGAGAGAGAGAGAAGTCCACCAAGAGGATACTGCAACCCTAAACACATATGCTCCAAACTTGGGTGCACTCAGTTTCATACGAGAAATCAATAGCAGTGACTTCAGGTCCCTGCTTCCACCCAGACAAAGCCGTAAAGGGGCTGGTGAAGAGCACTGAGTTCTGTTCTCAGCACCACGTGGAGCAGCTTATTCTGGTGACCCACGACAGCCTGTGTGACCCCTGCTCCAGGGGATCCCATTCCCATTGCTGGTCACATGCACAAACCCACACACACACACACATAACTGAAAGGAAAACAAATCCTTTTTTCCCAATGTAATATTTGTATTGATTATTTGGGGGATTTCACATCATGAACCCGGATCACACTCACTTCCCTGTCCTCCCAGGTCTGTTCCTCCAGCCTTGTGGCCTACCTGCTAATCGAAGAAGAATTAAAACAAAACAAGTCCTGTGTGGCCTAGATTTGGACCAGTGTATGAGTGTCTGTCCAATGGGTCTCCAGAGAAGGCAAAGCCAATGGGGACAGTCTCACTCAACAGGGAACCGTGGACTTCGGGACAGCTGGTTCCGGGTGGCCTGTCCAGCACTCTCTTCTCTCTGTAATACTGACGATTCTCTTGGCAGTTTCACAGTCACTCTGTGAGCCATGCGTGGGACAGGTGTGATCATTCCCAGAAACCCCATTTTTTTCTTGAATATTTTCCCCTAAAATTCTTTGGGAGCTGATGTTTCTCAGAATTCTTGTCTGGGGAGGCAGCTGTCACTCCAGACCCCGGTGACCGTTCTGATTCCGTGCTGATGGGATCGGAGGCAGACCACCCCTGTTTCTGTAAATATATTTTGAGCGAGATTTTTGTTCTTGAAAATGTGTACCTATGTCAATCACCTTTTAGTAAAGACAGGATGTACCTGGCTCGATATTTGGAGGAAGGGGAAAACTTGTTTGTTAGTAGGGAAAAACATGTTTGTTTTGATGTATAAGTAAAGATGGCCGAAGCTATTCAGGGCTGGCCACTCTTGTGAAACTCATCTGCTGGTTGGACAGTTCATTTCTTTGTGTTGATGCCCCCTTCCCCGTCTCAGGACCTGAACACAGAAAAGTCCAATTTGTGTTGCCCATATACTCACTGGAGCCTGGTCAAACTCCCTGTAGCCAGTCCCTTAAAGAAAACTGAGTCTGGGGCTGGAGAGATGGCTCAGTGGTCGGGAGCACTGACTGTTTTTCCAGAGAACCAGGGTCCAATTCCAAGCACCCGCATGGCAGCTCACAACTGTCTGTAACTCCAGGATCTAACACCGTCACACAGGCATACAGACAAAGTGCCAATAAAATAAAAATAATTTTAGAAAAAGAAGAAGGCTGAGTCATTCCCACCCACAGCCCTGCCAGAAGCATCAATTGTGGAGAGCATCCTTATTACAATTTTAAGAGTTTTCTTTGATGGTTTTCTATCTAGACTGCTCCTTTTGGGGGAAGAGTAGGGCTAGGGGTTGTCACAGAAGCCTTCAAACTCACTTTCTCAACTGAGTCTGTGGTCATTGATGCCACTGCACAAGTAGCCACCTTCCCTTTACAGTCAGAGGAGCATGGACCAGGACCATGGCCTCTGGTGGCAGTGCAGACCTTGGACATCCACATGGCCTCTGGTGGTGGTACAGACCATGGACATCCACATGGCCTCTGGTGGCAGGACAGAACGTGGACATCCACATGGTCTCTGGGGCAGCACCGGCCATGGACACAAATGTGGTCCCCAGAGGGCCCAGCTCTTGGACATCAGCGTCTTCACAGATGGTATCACTGACCACGGACGTGCGCCTGGCCCTTGGTGGTAAAAAATGAAAAGAGACTTCTTTTAAAGAGTGAAAAGAAACTTCAGAGTTAAATGACATCATAGAACAAACAAACAACCAGTATCTAGAAAGGACATTCTATCAAAACCAGACAGAATACACATTTTTCTCAGCAGTCCATGGATGTTTCTCTAAAATAGACCATATGTTGGGGCAGAAAAAAAATCTCAACAGGTATAGGACAACTGAAATAACTCCTTGTATTCTGTGCCACCACCATGGAACAATGCTGGATGTTAATAGCAAAGGAGACTACAGAAAATATACAAACTCATCAGATTAGACAACACAGTATTGAATGATGAATGGATCATCGAAGAAGTCAAGAATGAAATGAAAAATTCTGAGAATGAAATGAAGATAAGACCACAACAAGACCTGTGAAATAAATGAAAGCAATCCTAAAAGGGAGTTTATGGTTCCAAGTGCCTATGAAAAGTCAGAAAGAGACTGGGAGGTGTGGTGCATGCCTTTAATCCCAGGACACGAGAGGCAGAGGCAGGTGGATCTCTGAGTCTGGACCAGCCTTGCCTACAGAGCAAGTTTCAGGACAGCCATGGCTACACAGAGAAACCCTGTCTTGAAAAACAACAAAACAAACCAAAAAGAAAAGAAAAGAAGAAAATCAAACAAAATCATTGAAACAGACTTGATTCTTTGCAGAAGTAAACAAAATTGCCAAAGCCTTAGCCAAACTGAGAGAGAGAGAGAGAGAGAGAGAGAGAGAGAGAGAGAGAGAGAGAGAGAGAGAGAGAGAGAGAGGGCAGCCCAATTAATAAAATTATAGATGAAAATGTAGAGACCACAATAGATACTGAGGAAATTCAGAGAATCATGAGGACACACTTTATTCCTATATTCCAGGGCTGGAGAGAGATGGCTCAGAAGTTAAGAGTTGTTCTTCCAGAGGACTTGAGTTCGATTCCCACCCACATGGCAGCTCACAACCATCTGTAACTCCAGTTCCAGTGGATCCTACATCCTCTTCTGACCTCTGCAGGTGTCAGATATACACATGGTAAAACAGCAATACACATAATTAATAAATAATAATGATGATGATGAAACATCTATAATTCATTACATTGAAAAGCCTAAGAGAAATGGATGAATTTATAGATGAATCTGACCTACCAAGATGAGATCAACAATTTTCATTTAAGCATGCTTGTAATAGCGAGAAGACTGAAGGAGTAATGAAAACATCTCAGCTAAGAAGAGCAAAGGTTATGGCCAAGGGAATGGCTTAGTGGGTAAAGGCACTCTCTGCCAAGCCTGAGGACCTGAGTTTGAGTCTCAGACTCAAATGGTGGGAATCAAGAACTGATTCTTACAAGACATCCTCTGACTTCTACAAGCATGTATGGAAATTGTGTGTGCATACAGACACATACGCACAGAAAGTAATTAAATGTAATTTACAAATTAAGCCAAGTTTAGGTGGACAGCAGAATTCTATCAGACTTTAAAAGTGGAGCATCAATGCTGCTCAAATTATAATACAAAATAGAAATAAAATGAATACTTCCAAACTCCTTTCATAAAGCCAGTATTACTCTAATACTCAAAATGGATAAAGACACAACAAAAATAAAACTGTAAATAAATATCTCCAAGGAACATAGATGTAAAAATTCTTAGCAAAATACTTAGCTAAATTTTCAAGAACACATTATCCCAGAGATGCAGGTATAGTTTAACATATACAAAATGATATGTGTAAGAACTCTTATAAATTGCCTTGAAGACAGAAATCACATGATCATCTGGATGGGTACCAGCACCTGACAAACACCTGCAATTTCAGCTCCAGGGGATCCAACACCCCATTCTGGCCTTACTGGTCCTGAATGCAGGTGGTGTAAACACATACACACACACACACACACACACACACACACGCATGCACGCACACACACTCACACATACTCATACTCACTCACACACATGCACACACTCACTGATAAAGCTATAGAAATGAAAGTGCTAGATAGGAAATCCTGATTGGCTGGACAATACAGCTTCTGGAAGCCATGGTTATTAAAGTTGTTGGTTGGGGAGTGTCTAACTCAGGGCTTCACACTTATGTGACAGGTCCTTTACAGATGAGCTATTTCCCTGCCTGTTCTATGTGGTTAGTTTTGAGTTTGGGCTAGCCTCAAACTCAAAATATAACAAAGGATGACGTTGGGTGTCTAGCTTCTGCCTCCATCTTTCAATGCTGGGATTATAGGTACATGCTAATTGTTCAGCTGTATGTCTCAGTGAGAAAAGAGCTGTGGAATCCCTGGCTGGTGATGTGCTTAGAGAACAATGTCTCCTGGGTTCCTATATGCCAGAGAGCTTCCTTAGGCTTTGTGTGAGTTTCTTCTCTGTTGCTATGATTTGAAAGAAAACAAACAAACACAAACAAGTGAAAAACAAGAAGGACAGCTTTAAGAGAGAAAGGGTTTATTTAGCTCACAGTTCTATGCCCGTCAATATTAGGGTGTCACAGCATAGGAGCTCTTATTTTGTTTGCTTGTGTTTTTGAGACAGGGTTTCCCTGTGTAGCTTTGGAGCCTGTCCTAGAACTCTGTTCTGTAGGCCAGGCTAGCCTTGAATTCACAGAGATCCATCTGCCTCTGCCTCCCAAGTGCTGGTATCAAAGGCATGTGCCACCACCTCCTGTCTGGCCACAGCACAGGATCTTGAATCAACTATTCACCATATGTCTGTAATCAGAAGAAGGGGCAATGAATGTGTGCATGCTACTGCTCAGTTTACTTGCCCTACCCTTGTGCAGCTCAGGATTCACTTCCTAAGGAATGGTACCTCCCACAGTGGGCAGGTTTTCCTGCCTAATTAATGTAATCAAGATAACCCCTAACAGACATGCTCAGAGGCCTGTCTGCCATATAGCATGCGTTCTTCTCTCTGTATCTGATTTTTGGACCCAGGGTAAAGGGATGGGATTGTAGGAAGCAAGACCTTTCTAAACTGAGTTGACCCCCCCCCCCCACGTAGTTACAGCCTGGGTAGCCAATCTCCCGATAATATCATGCAGGAATTTTAGAACAGCTAGATGCAGACTTTCCCATACACTTCACACTCCGTCCCCAAGTTGAGCATGATTTCTTGTAGGCAACACAAGCTGCTAGGAATAGGAAAGGACGCTCGGTATGGTAGCCTAAAGTTGTAGTCAAAGTCCTCTGGAGGCCGAGACAGGAGAATTATACAAGTTTGAGGCAACCTTGGGCAATGTATCAAGTACCAGGCCACTTAGAACTACATAGTAAGAGTGTTTTGGCTGCATAAAATGGCATGTGCCAGTAACCCTAATTCTTGGGAGTCAGAGGCAGGAGGATTGTTGCAAGTTTGAGGTCAGCCTGGTTTACAAAGCAAGTTCCAGGAAAGCCAGGGCTATATAGTAAGACACTGTATTAAAAAGAAAAACTTGTCTGCAAAAAGGTAAATAAATATTTAAAACAAAGAAAAGAAAATGAAAAGAGGTGATATGTGCCTTTTAAAAAATATTTTTACTCAGGCATGGTGGTACATGTCTTTGATCCCAGTACTCACAAGGCAGAGACAGGTGCCTGGTTTACAAAGTGAGGTCCAGAACAGCCAGTGCTATTACACAGAGAAACCCTATCTCAAAACCAAAACCAAATATATGTATTTAACCTTTATTTTAACTCTATGTGTGTGTGTGTGTTCTGCTTGCATGTATGTCTGTACTCTACATGTGTCCTTAGGTCCCCGTGGATAGTTCCACATGAGAAAGGACTCCCGGAAAATGATGTTCCGGAGCAGCAAAGCTAAGGGAGGGAGGGGACATGGGGGTTGTGGCGATGCCTCCGTGGATAAAGGGCCTGCTCTGCAAGCGTGAAGACGCGAGTCCGGATCTCTAGGACCCGCGTAAAAGCTGGGTGAGGCAGCACACGTAAGTATCCCTAGCACTGGTGGGTCAGAGGCAGGCAGATCTCTGAAGCTCACAGGCCAGTCAGTTCAACCAAACCAGTGAGCCCCAGATTCAGCAAGAGTTCCTATCTCAATAAATCAACAACAACAACAACAAAAAAACAAATAAATAAGGTAAATGGGCTAGAGAGGTAGCTCAATGGGTAAGAGCACTTACTGTGCAAACAGAGTTTGGATTCTAGCGCCCATGGAAAAAGCATTGGTGGGGCTTG